CTGGTACAACAACAGATATATAGACCCATAGAACAGAATTGAGAATCCAGATGTAAATTCATCCACCTATGAGCAGCTGATATTTGACAAAGGCCCAAAGTCCATTAATTGGGAAAAGACAGTCTCTTTAACAAATAGTGCTGGCATAACTGCACATCCATCTGCAAAAAAATGAAACAAGACCCATACCTCACACCATGCACGAGAAGTAACTCAAAATGGATCAAAGACCTAAATATAAAATGTAAAACGATAAAGATCATGGAAGAAAAAATAGGGACAACACTAGGATCCCTAATATATGGCATAAACAGAATACAAAATATAACTAACAATGCACAAACACCAGAAGAGAAACTAGATAACTGGGAGCTCCTAAAAAATCAAACACTTACGCTCATCAAAAGACTTCACCAAAAGAATAAAAAGACAACCTACAGACTGGGAAAAAAATTTTTGGCTACAACATATCCAATCAGGGTCTAACCCTAAAATCTACAAAATACCGCTAACTTCAACCACAAAAAGACAAATAACCCAGTTTAAAAATGGGCAAAGTATATGAACAGGCACTTCTCCAAAGAAGACATTCAGGCGGCTAACAGACACATGAAGAAATATGATCATTAACCATTAGAGATATGCAAACTAAAACTATAATGAGATACCATCTCACCCCAACAAGGCTGGCATTAATCCAAAAAACACAAAATAATAAATGTTGGCGAGGCTGTAGAGAGACTGGAACACTTATACACTGTTGGTGGGAATGTAAAATGGTACAACCACTTTGGAAATCGATTTGGTGCTTCCTTAAAAACCTAGAATTAGAAGTACCATATGATCCAGGAATCCCACTCCTTGGAGTATTTCCTAGAGAAATAAAAGCCGTCACATGAATAGATATATCCACACCCATGTTCACTGCAGCACTGTTCACGATAGCAAAAAGATGGAACCAACCTAGGTGCCCATCAGTGGATGAATGGAGAAACAAACTATGGTATATTCATCCAATGGAATACTATGCAACTATAAAGAACAACGATGAATCTGCGAAACATCTCATAACATGGATGAATCTGGAAGGCATTATGCTGAGTGAAATCAGTCATTTGCAAAAGGACAAATATTGTATGACACCACTATTATAAGAACTCAAGAAAAGGTTTAAACACAGAAGAAAACATTCTTTGATGGTTATGAGGGTGGGGAGGGAGGCAGAGGGGAATTCACTAACTAGATAGTAGACAAGAATTATCTTAGGTGAAGGGAAGCACAACATACAATATGGAGGAAGTCAGCACCACTGGACTAAGCCAAAATCTAAGAAGTTTCCTGAACACAACCAAACACTTTGAGGGACAGTGTAGCAGGGGCAGGGGTCTGGGGACTATGCTTTCAGGGGACATCTAGGTCAGTTGGCATAACAAAGTTCATCAAGAAAATGTTCTGCGTCCCACTCTGGTGAGTGGCATCTGGGGTCTTAAAAGCTAGCTAACAGCCATCTAAGATGCATCAGTTGGTTCCAACCCACATGGAGTAAAGGAGAATGAAGAACACCAAAGACACAAGGAAAATATCAGCCCAAGAGACAAAAGGGGCCACGTAAACCAGAGACTCCATCATCCTGAGTCTAGAAATAGATGGTGCCTGGCTACCACCAATGACTACCCTGACAGGGAACACAACAGAGAGTCCCTGACACAGCAGGAGAAAAGTGGGGTGCAGAACTCAAAGTTTAGTAAAAAGGCCAGGCTTAATGGTCTGACTGAGGCTGGAGGAATCCCAGAAGACATGGCCCCCAGACTCTCTGTTAACCCAGAACTAAAACCATTTCCAAAGCCAACTCTTCAGACAAAGAATAGAATGGAGTATAAGATATAAAGTGATACTTGTGACGAGTGTGCTTCGTAGTTCAAGTAGATACATGAGAATAAATGGGCAGTTCCTGTGTGGAAGCGAGAGAAGGCAGAGAGGGATAGGAGCTGGTTGAATGGACACAGGAAATCGGAGGTGGAAAGGAGGAATGTGCAGTCACATTATATGGATGGCAACTAGGGTCACATGACAATGTGTACATAGATTTTTGTATGAGAAACTAACTTAAGCTGTAAACTTTCACCTAAAGCACAATTAAAAAAAAAAAAAGCAAATTCCACTTTGAGGACTATAGTGCGCCTGACCCAAGCCATTGTATTTTCAATTGCCTCATAGGCATGTGAAAGCTGGACAATGAATAAGGAAGACCGAAGAAGAATTGATGCCTTTGAATTATGGTGTTGGCAGAGAATACTGAATATACCATGGACTACCAGAAGTGTGAACAAGTTTTGGAAGAAGTACAGCCAGAGAGCTCGTCGGAAGTGAGGACGGCAAGACTGTCTTACGTACTTTGGACATGTTATTAGGAGGGACCAGCCCTTGGAGAAGGACATCATGCTCAGTAAGGTAGAGGGTCAGTGAAACAGAGAAAGACCTTTGACAAGATGGGTTGACACACTGGCTACAACAACAGGCTTAAACATGATTGTGAGGATGTGTAGGACCGGGCAGTGTTTTGTTCTATTGTACACAGGGTCACTATGAGTTGGAATTGAGTTGATAGCACCTAACAACAACAAACCAAGTGTTGACAAGGATATGGAGCAACTCTCGCATACTGCTGAAGGAAGTGTATTGGTAAAAACTACTTGAAGAGCAATTTTGGCAAGAATCAGTAAATTGAAGGCTCTGTAGCACAGATTTGTTCCTAACATTCATTCATTATGGTCATCTTTATGGGAGGAGGAGGAGCAATGCAATCAGGAGCATTTCAAAATGTAATGTTTCATTTCCTGATGACACTGGAAAGTTCATGGTTATGACATTATTTGCTTCCCCTTTTTGTAGGCCTAAAATATTTAAAATTTTAAAAATGTTTATAGGTTATTGGGGGACACATACTTTACTTTTGGACATATTGCTTTGCACATAGGCATCTAGATGGATTACAGAATGAAGATGAAAATATGGATCTGGAATTCCTTCTTTATTTACTCTACGCACACCACTCCTTAACTGGCTTTGCTAGATCCTCTTCTGATTTGTCTTCCCGAAGCTTGTGATGGAACAAACTTGTATGAAAGCAATGATTTTTATAGTTAGGATATTGTTAAATCTGTATTCAATAGCTGGATCTCATATAAATTACTACAGGCCTGCTCAGACATGTCTCCCAGATCAGAAAATGCAACTGAATAGTTTGGTTTTAGATCTCTAGATGATCAACAAAAAATAAAATATTATATGGGCCTTACCAGTATCAAGGTGTCTGTGAAACAAATACATTTTTTTGTGGGGCAGATGATGATCCTTTCCAAAGGTTGTAGATCAGGAAATGTTAGGGAAAGTTGGGAAATATTCTGTGAAATTGAGTAGCCCTTTGAGTCTAGGCTATGTCTATTCTAGGTTGGCAAGTCACAGAAGCTAGTTAGTCTTGGTAGAGAAAAAGGGAAGGGAACTAGCCTGTACTGGTTGTCCACATTTGCATGGTGGCATGGTGCTATCACTTATAAGAGCATGTCATACCATTTAATCCTCAAAACTTCATAAGGTAGATAAACTATACTGAGAATAGAGTCTGAAAAGTCAAGTACTTTGCTAGATGTATTTTCACAACTTAAACCGGCAAAAGCAGAGTTTAAAACTCAGAACTTAGGTGGCATGGGGTGGGGGCAGGAAGTGTGGGGAGGGGGTGAGGAGGTGGGGGGAGGTGGAGAGTGTGGAGATGACATTAACAACCTAAGTGGGAAGGTAAAAACTTAAGTCAAGAGCTTCTCTCCATTTCCTAATTCCTTTTCTGGTGTTAAAAATTTTAGTTCCATACTAAGACCTCTTGTAACTTTACAACATTTCTCTCTGGATTACCTTCATCAATCCTGCATCTTCAACTATAAGTAAATTACTCCAAATTTCGTATCTCATTAACTCCTGGTCTTTAAGCTTACATTTTCAATTGCTGAGAAGTAGCATTTCAGAGACACCACACTTAACAGGTCCAAACTAAACCCCTTATCTTTTATCCAAATCCGTTCTTTCCTTTTTGCTTCCGATCAGTTAATAGGCTTAGTTTTCCCAGCTTCCTAGGTGCTACCCCACCTCCACCCATCCAGTCTGTAGATTTTTACAAGACACTTTAGTAGTTACGGCAATGTCAATTTAAGTCAATGAAAAAGTTATTTGTGTGCCAAATTCTTCTCCCACAATATTTTCAAGGACCACTCACTATAAAAATAAAAATTGTAACTTTTCTATTAACACATTCCCGGCATGTGTCTATTAGCATCTAAAAATAAGGGTTTCAAATACCTTCCTAACATTCAGTAAAATCAATAATATGATTCAGTTCTGATAATTAGCACGTCTTCTTATCTACTTTAAAATTTTTCAACATGCAAGCTTCTTGTAATATCTTAACAGGACAAAAAATTAAAATACCTGTCAATACCAATCAGAAGTGATACAAAGACCGGAAAGCACCCACATGAACAGAAACATCCCAACAAAACTAGTCCCAGGTAGTGAAATGTAGGAATAAACTGCGAATGTAACTGGGAAAATAGGTGCAAAAAGGGGAAAATGCGAAATAGGTGGACAAAGTGGCACGGATGAACACCGAGAAAAAGCAAGCAAGCCCTAAAGAGCAGTAAGAAAGAAGAGGCTCCTCTGATGGGGGCGAACAAAACACCAGCCACCATCTCAGCTCTATCTTCTGCTAACGACTAAATTCAAGCAAACGGTAAGGGGGGTTTTCCTCACATAGTTTTCTTAACCTGGCAAACTGCGGCCAGGCCTGCGGTAGCCAGACGCTTTGGGCCAGCGGTCCGCTTGGAGAAGATTTCTGATTGAACGGACCCCGCTTTAGCGGTTCCGGGACGCGCAAGACTAATCGCAGCACGACCCCCTTCCGCACCCCTACCACGCCCAACCCAAGCCTCGAAGGAAGTGACGCGCACAGAAGGGCGGGGCGAGTTCTACGCCGGAAGTGGCTTGCGCATAGTAAATAAGCCCCAAAAGGCAAGAAAGGCGCTGTCTCCATTTTGTCGGGGTTCGGCGTTGTTACGAAGTTGTGGAGATGGGGAGTGTCCTGGGGCTGTGCTCAGTGGCGAGCTGGGTAAGGTTCCTTTTTGCGGCTTCCGGAGAGCTAGCTAGCTTGAGAGGAGGGAAAGAAAGGGATCCAAGGAAGATTGAGCGAGACCCAGTTCAGACCCCACCCAACAGGGAGTGCTTTCTGTTCCTTTTCTCCTTATCTCTCTTGGTCACTCTGAGTTGGCTTCGGGGCTCTGGGACTTTGGAAAAATTGGCCAGGGTGGCCGTGAGGTGCGGTGGGGATGGGAGGATAACCCCGATGGAAGAAGTGAAGAGAACTGCAGCCCCTCCCCCACCCCTCCTCCGGGAGTGGCGCTCGCCTTTCTTCCAGGCCCTTGTTTGTTCTTATATCTGACTAGGCCGTCTCTACAAAGGTCTTCTGCCCCTTCCTTTAATGGGATAACGCGTCTCTTCTCGTCACATCCTCCCATCGGCTTCAGGCTGCAGCACTGTCATCCCGGGAGGCTTGTCGGCCTGTTTATTCCGTCGTGCTAGCGTTTCGTCTTAAATGTATTTTTTCGTTGTTTGGGTCAGCCTGGGAGTAATATTGATGTAGTAATACCGTTTTGAAGTAAATAATCCTAGTTCTGCGACTGAGTTCTCTGCTTTAATGGTATGAGGGAATTACTATATTTCTCAAGTAATAATTTATGTACATGGAAAAGCTGGTCAGTTCTGTGGTTTTAAATATTCTGTACTTTTTTTTACATAAAACATTCTTGTGTAATGTCAGATTTCATGCATTTTGGCTAAACAGATGTTAAAGTGAAGCAATTTTTATTATAGTGGGAAGATTTCTTGATTCGTGTGGCACAAATAAACCAGTTTAAAATAATCACTCCCCCTTGCATTATAGTTAATAAAAATATTTGTAACTTCGGGGGGAGTTACTTGAGTTCAAATCATATTTCTTTAATCTGTGATTTCTAATTCCACATCTAGCAGTTGCTTTTCTGATTTTCTAAATCCATTGTATATCTTAACCACCGTATTGATTATTTTACATATCTCTCCTTTGTTCAAAAAGATTTTGCTATGGCTTGAACTATAAATGTTAAAATTTAATAAAATAATGCATGTGGGTTCTTACTGCAACCACAGGCCATTCTCTTGATTATGTTGTATTTTTTTCTTGGAGCTGAGTGTGGAAACATGGTATATTTTATTTCAATAATATATTAGTGCATCTACTTGAGTGGAACAAATAGGTTGAATAGATGACTGTAAATTGACTATTTTTACAAAAGAGACATCCTTAGTATAAACCCATTACTGTGGAGTCAAGTCCGACTCAGTGTCCCTATAGGACAGTGTAGAACTGCCCATAGGGTTTCCAAGAAGTGGCTGGTGTGTATAATAAATATGAAAGTACTACAGAATAATAAATGATTGTCATAAGTTTATTCTCATTGATTTTTCTGGAAGATTTTGTGTAATGGTTAATTTTTAATGTCAGGATTTTGTCCACTTACCAAGTGGACATGCTGCAGTTCTTTGTAGTAGAGATTTATGAGGAGGAATACGTATTTTCCATTTTATTCTCAATCTCCAGATCAGTGATGAGCAACTTTTTTTTTTTGCCTCGAGAACAATTATGGTAAAATAGTGTTTAAGAATTTTTTTTTATAGGTACGTATGTATGTGTTTTAAACCAGAAAATAGCTTTAGTGAGCACCATGGGAGAAAATGATATTTCTGTTAATATTTTTACAACGTAAGTTTCCACGTTTATTAACCAGAAGAATGTTGGTGATACAGTTACCACTGCCATTTAGTGCCTTTGTTAGTATCGAGGTGTATTAGAAAATGAGAAGAATCTTAGGACAGTCATGTATATTTTTGTAGTACTTGTAGATTTATTAGAATTCCCTTAATGGTGCAAACAGTTAACAAGCTCAGCTGTTAACTGAAAGGTTGGCAGCTGAAGTCCACCCAAAGGTGCCTTGGAAGAAAGGCCTGGTGATATGAAAAAAAATCAGCTATCCAGAACCTAGTGGAGCATAGTTCTACTCTTACACACGTGGGGTCACTATGAGTTGAAGACAGCTGGTTTTTAGTAACAAAGAGGTGGCTTATTTTCCAATAATTAGACCTGTGGCAGATAGAGGCACAAGACAGAAAGGGAAAAAGATGACCCAAATTGCATACTATAAAATCAGTTCCTAGACCCACCGTAATAATCTAGAGCAGTCATGAGCAACCTTGGCTTCCTAGCTTTTCTGTCCCTTTTTTTTCCTAAATTTTTTCATTTTAGTACAGGTGGATAAACAGGAAGAAGGAAAATTTGCCCTTTTGATATACAACTAAGTCTCTTCCACATTCTTAACAATCAGTATGCTCATTTACTTAGAGGGTTTGATGAATTTAAAATTTATTCAAATCATTAAATTAGGTCATTTATGCCAAAAATTACAAAAAAGAACAGACAAAAAAACTCCCTCATTCTTAGCTCAAGTGTCTGTAGCATAATCAGTTATTGTAAAAGTTTTTGTTCTAATTAATAAGATAATTGTAGAAAATTTATGGACTATGAAAAATCTAAGAGAAAGCAAAAATGACATGTAATACTACTGTTTAGAGATTGCATTGTTAAATTGTTGAATTTTTTTTCTTTTTCTTTCTGCTGTCAAGAGGTCCAGAATTAGGTTAATCATAATCCTTGATTCATGACACTGTCGATACTGAGTCATTCATGGCTGTCTCTTTTTGGTTGGTGATTAAACAGTATCGTAAACATCAGTGGACCTCCCACCTAATCCTTATAAACTATATTACTAGCAGTTTATATCTACTTGCACACTTCTCCCCATTCCAATGACAAAAATGGCGTTAGTGAATAGAATTGGTTTTTAAAATGACTGGATCTTTTATTAATAATGTCATATACAATAACTGTCATTTCTTTGTCAAAGATTTTATGTAATGTAGTTAAGTAGTTAAGAAGAAAGAGCTAGTGATTACTGAATATGTATTTTGTGCTAGTCTTTGCTAGATTTTATTTTTTAATACAATGCATTTTTTGTAGAAATGATTCATAGCTGCTATGAATAGTCAAGCAATGCAGAGTACTGAGAAAGTAAAAATGTCACAGAAAATTCCCCACCACTAGTAATGTTTTTTCTCCCTCAGTGCATATATTCAAATGGATGAATAAACAAAAATACTTTTGTAGGAATGGTAAGATACTAAACGTGTATTTTTAAGCAAAGCATTAAATTTAATTTTTCTTGAATTTGACAAAAGAAAAATAAGATAAAACTAAAAGAACTGCTGAATGTTCAGTAAATGTTTCTTCATTAGGAGAGTTTCCTAACAAGATTCCTCTAAAGAGGTGGTTCTATAGCAGAGGTTCTCCACTGGGCACAGTTTTGTACCCCAGGGGACATTTGGTAATGTCTGGAAACATTTTCGGTTGTCACAATGGGGGTGGGTAGTGCTACTAGTATCTAATGGGTAGAGGCCAGGGATGCTGCTGAACAGTCACAATGCACAGGACAGCCCCCCTAATAAAGAATTATTCAGCCCAAAATGTCAGTAATGCCAGGGTTGATGTCCTGCTCTGAGTTTAAGAAAAAAGATTGTATAAAATATTGAAATTGGAGTAAGTTTTTAAGGATGTTTTAATTTTAGATTCACTGATATGAAAGATGAAAAATTAACATTCACTTATCCTTCTACATCACAATTCTTGTTAATTGTATTATTACAAAAAACAGTATACCACTCCATTACTACTGTTTGGAGTCAGTGTTGTAGTACGTATTTACTTCCATGTTTCTAAACAACATGCTTGTATTGTGTTCTTTATTATTATTATTATTATTTATTAAATCAACTCCATGGCAACTAATAACAGCAGTATTAGTTTTCACCATTATCACTACCCCCAAGTCAGAAGAGGGAAAAAATAATGATAACAATGTACTTTTCCTCCTCGGGGCTATTTGAGAAGTCTTAGAATTTTGTAGACTCACCAGTACCATTTCTGAGGGCTGGAGGTTGGCTTAGCAGCTTGCTACTCATGCATATTTTATTTCTCTTCTTAGCTTAACGTTGATTGCTGCTAGTGATTTTTTTCCCCCTTTGTTTTAAGTAATTTTATTCATTTTGGTTTATATAGAGGGCAAAGGCTTCTTTTTCTGACGTTTACTTCAGTCCTTTTTTTTTCCTTCAGTCCTTTTTTTTCCTTTTGTGAACATAAAGAGTTAAATTTTCACTGTATCATTTTAAACTATACTTATTTTTAATAATACCATTTTTTCTAGATACCATGTCTGTGTGGCAGTGCTCCATGTTTGCTGTGCCGATGCTGTCCTAGTGGAAACAACTCCACTGTAACAAGATTGATCTATGCACTTTTCATGCTCGTTGGAGTGTGTGTAGCTTGTGTAATGTTGATACCAGGAATGGAAGAACAACTGAATAAGGTTAGTCTTTTTTCTTACTTAATGATTAACTGAAGCTGTAGTATATATATGTATAAAATTGTGTATTTTGTATGTTGGAAGTAGAATAATGTGCGAAGTAAGAAATGTAATCTCATTTTCAGTAGCTCATAATCTTTTAAGGAAACCAACAAAAACAGTATAAGGCAGACTGTTAAGTCGTGTGATTGTGGTACATAAAATGTACTATCATAGTATATGGGGAAATAAGTAATTCTGATCAGGTGAATGTCAGAATCTCAGTAGGCTCATGCAGAAAGGGACATACTGAGAATAAGTAAACTTTCACATGTAGAGATTGAAAAATAGGGAAGTATAATTGGCATAAAACTAGAAAGTAAGGGGAGGATCAGATTGTGGAGGGTCTTGAATGTATTGCTATGGAATTTCCCTTCTTTAGACAGTAGGGAGCTATCAGAGCTTTTTGAGCAGAATATTTTTGCTTTAGGAAGATTGATCTGGTAATTAAGAAAGACTAAAAGTCAAGTAGATAAGTATGGAAGGCAGTGGTATACCAAGAAGTGTAGAGGGCCTGAAATAAGTTTTATGGACATAAGACTTGACTCTGACATTTAAATGTTAACAGTAATGAAATCATAAATAACCAGGTTCTGATCCTAGACAACTGGGAGGAAATTATTGCTGTTAACCTAAAAAAGAAAATAATAATTTTTTTTGTTTGTTTGGTTTTATTGTTGGTTTTTTTAAATTTTTTTTCAGGGACTGAGAGGAGTGGAAGGAGATGGCGAAAATGGGATATATTTGATTTGTAACATGTTGACTTGGGGGGTACTGCATTACATATATACATATCAAGCAGGAAGCAGAAAATTTGAGTGTAACTCAAAAGAGATAAAGACTATTTAGTGGGTTTATATTTATATACACATAAAGTTGAAAATTGAAACCATGGCAGCATTTAGAGTGAGCAGAGCTAAAACTTTGGTAAAAGCTCTCACTTAAGGGATGGAGAAAGGGGAAACTCTGAAAGAGCAGTGAGAGAAGGAGGAGAATAAAGAGAATGTTCTGTTGTGCAAGTCTTAAGAAGAGAGTTTTAAGAATGCCAGGAGAATGTGTATAAAAAGATACTGAGGAATATGAGGGTTAAGAAGTAACCTTTGAATTTGGCAACTAGTGCAGGACTGTTGTTAGGTGCCATTAAGTCGATTTTCAACTCAGTAGCAACCCCACGTGACAGTAGAACTGCCCCATAGGGTTTTCTAGGCTGTAATCTTTATGGGAGCAGATCTCTAGATCTTTCTCCCGTGGACCCACTGGGCTGGTTAGAACTGCCAACCTTTAATTTAGCAGGCAAGTGCTTAATCATTGTGCCACCACGACTCCTTTATATGACTAGTGTACTGAACAGAGAGTTTTTTTTTTTTTTGAGTCCTGGCGCTGAAAGGAGTGGGCGGGAGAATCAAATGGTCATCAGGAATGTATCCAATGGGTATGAACTGCAAATTTGAAGACTTTTGTAATGAAAATGGTAGCTTTAGAGGGAAGCTGGGTTAAGTAAGGAATTTTTAGGACAGGGAAAAATGAAGTCTGTATTGTGAGAGCAGTCAATTAAAGAAAACAGAGATCTGATGTGTGAAAGAATGTGATCAAGAGGAATATAGAAGTTAGTTTTCCTGCAAGGAAGTATGGATGATAAATACAGAGAATTTGAGTTGAGAGTCCTTATGTCAGATGACCTCATCTTACTAAAGTAGAAAGCACAATCATCTGCTTGTTCTGGGCTTAGGGATAAGTGGTAAAAGTTTGGGAACTGATTATTCTGATTGTAAAAGTAGTTAGCATGATACGTGGCATATGTAGGTGCTCAGTAAATGTTCTTCAGTCCTCGGTTTAAGCAAAAGACATGCCAAAGCATGTTAACGTGGTTTTGTCATGCATCCAGTTGATCATGTTTATGAAAAATGTGGTTGGTAGACTTCAGTTCTTATCACCAAATATTTCTGCTTCTCTGCTTTCTGAGGTCATCAAAAAATTGCTGGTGATGTGTGGGGCCATGTCATTAGTTCCGGTCTGTGAGATGTGAGTGAAGTGATACACTTTAGCTTCTACTTGCTGATGTGGCTTTTCTTTCTATCACAACATAGGCATCACTTGAGAATAGTGGCTTCTGCATCAGCCTAGATTCCTGAGTGACTACTCAGGACCAATGATGTACATGTAACCAAACAAAAAATACACCTTTGCTGTCTTAAGCTACAGAAATATGGAGGTTGTTCATTACTGTACCAGCTTAGCCTAACTTATACAGATGGTTGAATTAATTTAGTGCTGGGAACTTGCAGAATGGTGTGCTGCCAACATACAAGGGAACAGGATAATGAAGGATACTAGTGAGTACATGGTACAAGTGAGTGTGGGTAAGTACATATTGTCATGAGCTTTAAACTGGGTCAAGAAGGTAGGATTTAAGTGAGGTCAAGAAAGGGTTTATAGACTTTGTAGGAAGTAGCAAGTACAACAGAAAAGTAACATATTAACCTAAATATAATTTCGAAAAGCAAATTAAGTTATCTGTGAGTATATTGGTTTGCTTCATTGTTGCCTAGAAGAAATAATCTGTTGTAGTACATGTGAGAATAATGTTTGTTGTTCTAACCAATACTCCCACTTCATTTAAAAATAGGTTTTGCCCTCTGATTCCAATGTGATTTTCTGAAATGTTCATCAGTCTTTTTCAAGATTCTAAGTTAAAAAAAAAAACCACTGCCAGCTTGTTATGCCAAATCCATTCATGATTAAAAATAGCACCTTTAGAAAAGGGCTGAAACTAAAAACGGGTTTAAGTAGCATTAGCTTTGAAAAACCATTATTGTTCTCTTCAGTACTTAGGGACACACTTAATTACTCTTTGATTCTTTAAGCTTTTATTAGTTTCGTTTTTCTCTCCTTATACATGCAATTCAGTGTATCACAGTATAATGCAAGTTTTAAAAATTTAGAATAAGTTCACAAATCAAAGTAAACATTTACATAAACAGTTTAGGAATGTCATTGGTAGTTTATCATTGGCTCACACAATGTTGAACTCTTTTTTTCACTTTAGTTGATTAAAATTTACCAAACTTACCTTGATTACATATTTATTGTAAAGCAAGCTTCATTTTCCAAACTTTTACTAAAAAGATTTGATTACACAATTTTAATTTCTACTTGCTGAAAAAATTATGGGTCACAAACTCTTGTTTTTCTAGATTCCTGGATTTTGTGAGAATGAGAAAGGTGTCGTCCCTTGTAATATACTGGTTGGCTATAAAGCTGTATACCGTTTATGCTTTGGCTTGGCTATGTTCCATCTTCTCCTCTCATTGCTGATGATCAAAGTGAAGAGCAGCAGTGATCCTAGAGCTGCAGTGCATAATGGGTAGGTTTTGAAGTCTGAGTAGCCTCTTCTCAATAATTTTGAGTCTGTCTATAGAAACTTAAACAGTAAAATAAACTTAAATAATTTGCAGAATTATTTTGTCCATTCGTGAATGTTAAGGTAAGAAAATCCTCTTGTTTCTACTAGAGAAGGTTGGACTCGGAAAATATAAATATTAATTAATAGCTTGGAGTTATTTATTGACATAATCTCTGATTCATAATTGTTTATGTTTTCATCCTAAAAAGCACATCTGTGACTATTAATGAGGAGCTGTTCTTCCTCCTCCTCTAAACTTTTGGTGGAGCAGTTCCACTACATAGGACTGAGTTCAGTTCCCTAGACCTTTAGTACAGCAAAATGAAAAACTTTATTACTAACCAGGGAGATTGATTTTCTAAATTGTTGGTTGTACTGGACAACCTGGAAAGAAACTTCAGGATCTTATTGTTGGTCTCCCTTAATACAAGCACCACTTCTGGTACTGGTGATTTGAATATTACCTATTGTTACTATTTTTTTTCCCCACAAATAAGGAGAAAAATGTTCTTAAGTATCTGTTATTACTTAGCTATTAGCATGTGTTACCAAAGATGGGAAGAATGAACAAATGGTATATAAATATCAATATCAATGAAAAGAATATCATTGGAACAGGTTGATTTAATTTTTGTCCTTTCAGTCATTGATTGTTTTAAATTTTTATCAGTTTTGAATGGAGGCATTTATTATGTTTTTTTCTTTTAACAATATTTCAATATCTGTACAATGCGCCTTATACTTTTACATACTACCCCATTTATTATGTAAAATAAACCTGTGAAATGGAACTTCTGTTTTTAACATTGAATCATGACAGATAATGTTTCTGAAAGTTTCTAAAAGTGTCTTGAAAGCAGTCTTCTCATTTTCAGGATATCTTGAAAAAGAATAGAATAATCACATAAAGTATAACAAGCCTTTAAGATGTTCCTAAAATATTTCATATATGAAATTGTTGAGTAATGTTTATTAATTAAAAAATTATATTTCTTTTTGTTTTAGATTCTGGTTCTTTAAATTTGCTGCAGCAATAGCAATTATTATTGGGGCATTCTTTATTCCAGAAGGAACTTTTACAACTGGTAAGAAATTTTCTTTTTTTTTTTTAGTTCGTGATGTTGATTTTTATAAAGAAACTAAAATAATGGCTGCCTGGAATTACAACAGTATTTGTTTTTTCATTCCCTAGTTGACAAAATTGTTTATATAAAATTTTATTTTCCTTTTTGTGTGTTGTCATTATGAAAAAGGAAATAACCGAACCAGCCACTTGTATGTATGCTTTTTTTTTTTCAGTGTGGTTTTATGTGGGCATGGCAGGTGCCTTTTGCTTCATCCTCATACAGCTAGTCTTGCTTATTGATTTTGCCCATTCATGGAATGAATCCTGGGTTGAAAAAATGGAAGAAGGGAATTCGAGATGTTGGTATGCAGGTAAGCTTTTATCTCCCAGAATATCTTCAAGATAGTTGAACTTTGAAGGTGAGAGCAGATACGTGGACTGTAGGAAAACTACTTACAGTTTTTATGATCTAATTTCCTTTGAACAGGTTTTTAGTATAAAAGTTTGTGAGTGGCATCGTATCATACTGTATCAACAACTTGTTGAGAGATCTTTTGGCAAACCTGTTAAGAACGTATTCAAGAACCAGGAAAACAAAAAGAACCTGAATAGCTAAAATAAGTGTTCCAAAACCTGTTGTTGAAAGCATGTGCATTTTATAATTTTTCATTGCCCGTTTTATTTTAGATAAATTTCTTAATAGTCTAATTACCTAGCCTATAGCAGGTTAACAGTAAAATATTAAAGGGATTAGCACTGCTAAAAATAAACATACGGTGATGTAGTTCATAAACAGAAGCAAACAAAAAATACAAAAAGTAACTCTTAGACATTTAAGTGCAAAGGATGCTTTTATGTGTATCAGTACCACCTAAGGAAATTCCTATAGTAGTATAATTAATGTTTGTTCGTTTATAATGATGAGCTTAAGTCCTATGGTTATTCTGTAAAACAGGGATCAAAACTCAGATGTTTGTGGGGGCTAAACACGTAACAAAGATGGGGGAAGGAGGACCAGGGTTAAGGGTGTATTCATTCTTTGTGCAAATAGTAGGGACTATGATGAATTGGAGAGAGTGAATGGCCCATCTCAAGTTCACATGTGCTGCTCAGCTCCACCTAATAGTTGCTTTGTGGGAAAGTGGACCCTATGTTGCTTGATTTTTCTGATTTTTTCATAAGAAGCTAGAAATCTGGATTTTTTGTGAAATGTTCTGAGTTTTAGGTGAAAGAAAATTTGAAGTCAGCGTGTACTCCAAATCCAACATGCTTGCTGGCCTAATGTGTCTTATACACAACTAGTTTGTGATGTTGGATCTCAGTGGATGAAGTAAAAAGAGGTTGGTGCTCAAAGAAATAAGCTTTCGTTGTTTAGAAAATCTGCTTAATGCAAGGATGCAGGGGTTTCTGTCTTGTTTTGTTCGCTGTTGTATCAACAGGGCTGGAACACTGTAGGCATTGAATAAGTATTTGTTAGATCTCCTCACTGAGGCAAATCTAAATTATATATTGAGCACGTTATCACAAACACTAGAACATGTTATATGTGTTGAAGTTTACATATATTAAGTACTGATGACTTAGCCTTTTAGTCGACTTTAGTTGATGAGGAACAGCATCATTGTTTTGTGGGCTTAATGTTTAGCAATGAAAATCAAGATTTTATGTTTCTTAATGCATTTTTTAATTGAATGATTATGGTTCTTTATAAAAACCTTACGTAATACTCTTTTTTTTTTTTAAATAATCACTATGTATGTGAAAGTTTTATAAACTATAATATAGATTTACTGGTGATATAAGTCTTACTAGTATGTTACTAACTTACTATCCTTGATAATAGTGAGAAATGTGTAAAGGCTATGAGATTCTTCAGTGATAAAGTTTAGAATTAGTTTTCTTCCCTGCTTTTATAGCCTGCATATGCTGGCAATACTAGTTGCTTCAAAACTTTTTTTTGAATAAAATGACAGATTGTTTTTAAAACAAGCTATATGCCTAATTCCTAATATTTCTGACAAAATCTAATTGTCCAATTATATTTTTTTCACAGCTTTGTTATCAGCTACAGCTCTGAATTATCTGCTATCTTTAGTTGCTATAGTCCTGTTCTTTGTCTACTACACTCATCCAGACAGTTGTGCAGAGAATAAGGCATTCATCAGTGTGAACATGCTCCTCTGCATTGGTGCTTCTGTAATGTCTATACTGCCCAAAATCCAAGTATGCTCTTTATATAATTAGTTTTTTTGAAGCTTCTGTGTTTGTAAATTTTTATAAACCTTAAATGTCAGAATATTTATCTGGGTTAATTTTTTTCTGTAGGAGTCACAACCAAGATCTGGTTTGTTACAGTCTTCAGTAATTACAATCTACACAATGTATTTGACATGGTCTGCTATGACCAATGAACCAGGTATGCTTTTTGTTTTATTTCTTTTTCAGTGACCCCTGCAGTTTTCCTTTTCTTTTCTCAAGGGTGATTGTTTTGTAAGATTAAGCTTTTTAAAAATTAAGCTCTTAGAGGAATAAAAAAGATGGGAATATTATCATTTTCATCTTTGATGTATTAACTATTTTTTCATTTAGTGCTTTCGTTTGCTAACAATCATAAGAAGGCTGTAAGAAGTTACTTGAAAATTACAAGAGATACATCTGTTTTGCACAGTGCATGAAATAGTTATGTATAGAAAGAAAGAAAAGCTGCTCAAATGTTTGTTGATCCAATTATCATTTTGTCATTATTAAATTATTATTTTTGTCTGTAGCTGCCTTGCAATTGTATAGAATAATTTGGGTTATTAAGATAGGCCTGTTACATTGCATTCCATGGGAAGAGAAACCAAACGTCATTTGAGGGCAGACACAAATTCATGAGAAATTAATTACTATTTTTAAAAAAAGAAAACAGCCTTTCTTTGTAAAGTATGAATAAAATTTACCTGAATCTCATATTACTGAATTTATAAACTCTGCAGGTGCTTTATCACTAGTTGGAGAAAGATTTCTTTTTAGTGTATTAGAGAAAGCTTCATTAGTGTTTTTTCTAGCTAAGTGGTTAGGAAAAAATTATTTGTAATTTGCTTTGGAGATTAGCCTTATGTGATTGGTTTTAAGATAAAAATCATTTTCATTAATAAGATTGTGATTGACATATCTGGCTTTGTAGGAGGAAAAAATATTTTTTGGACACGTCAGTGAATACCAACCCTATTTTAATTCTTTCTTACAGATGAGTAAAGAAAACTGAATAAGCATTAGGTCATTATGCCTTACCTGGTTTCCAAAAAGCATTTGCTAGGATCCTAATAATTGTGGTTTTTTGTGCGTGTAAGCTGTCTTGCTGCTTATAACCATGTACTTTGGCAGATTAATAAACTTCATTAAGGAAGTATTGTAATTTCAGAATATGTTGCAGAAAAGCCAGTGAATTGTGGTTTGGGGCATCTGAATTTTATTCCTAACTCTATTACAATTTTACCAACTTTATGTAAATTTCACCTGTTTTATCTGTTTTTGCCCACCTTTTGGTTAACTGCTGAGCGCTTAACCACTGCACCATCAGTGCTCTTTATCTATGAAGAGGCTATAACACCTCTCAGCTACTGCACAAGATTGAAAATTAAATGATTTAACTTTTTAAGCACTTTTATAAAATTAGCACTATAAAACTTTTGAAAGGTTCCATTAATAAATACAGATTGTTTTCAAGTATTTTTTTTGTTATACTTGTGACCTTTTTCAGCAGAACTTTGAATTTGCAAGAGTATTGTTGATAAAGAGTTAAAAAGAACTCTATTTATGCCCTGAAAAAAAAATTATTTTCCATGTTATTCTAACATTTTAATTTGATTTTAATTTTTTGTCATAGACACCACGTGCAACCCAAGTCTACTAAGCATAATTGGCTACAATACAACAAGCACTATTTCAAAGGACGGGCAGTCTGTCCAGTGGTGGCATGCTCAAGGAATTATAGGACTAATTCTCTTTTTATTGTGTGTGTTTTATTCAAGGTAAGGAAAACTATGGAATTTCTAAAAATTTTTAACAAGAAATCTAGCTATTCATTTATGAATCATTTAAGGAAATGCCTGATTTTTTCTTCTCTCTTTCTGAACCCTATCTTTCATACAGCATTCGTACTTCGAACAATAGTCAGGTGAATAAACTGACTCTAACAAGTGATGAATCAACATTAATAGAAGATGGTGGAGCCAGAAGTGATGGATCACTGGAGGATGGAGATGATGTTCACCGAGCTGTAGATAATGAAAGGGATGGTGTCACTTACAGTTACTCCTTCTTTCACTTCATGCTTTTTCTGGCTTCACTTTATATCATGATGACCCTTACCAACTGGTACAGGTACTTACATTTCATGAAAACTTGGATGTGGAAATTCTGACGGTTTTTTCATTAAAACATGATATGGTAGCAAGTACTTTTTATTTGCTAATTAAATAGTGAGATCAGTGTGAGAAAAGCAAACTTTATTTCCTTGCTTTAATAATAACAGAAACATTGAAGTAGTTCCAAGTCTTGAAAAGATTAAAATAGAAATATTTATGAAATGAACACTTTTCTTACAGAAATGCATGTTGATAGTTTATCCAAGACAACATGTATATTTATTTTTATTACCATAGCCAGTTCCTGATACAGTGCTATAAAAGATACCCCCTTTCTTCTGTTTTGTGTGAACTTTGTCATTAAAAGTTCTGGAAACTTTAAAATTGAGTTTTGAATACATTAATGTAGATCTCTTAGAGTTCTTTGAAACTGTACTTGTATTCTTCTTTTATCGCTTCAAAACTAATCCATGCATCTTACTCTGTAAAGAGGGAGGTAGCAGTTTATGTTGTTTTCATTTCTTAAAAAATTTTTGATTTTGTCCAAATGACTACTGAAAGATTTGGTTTTAGATTCACGTTGAACTTTATGGTTTGGGCATTTTTAATGATTTTTAATACATGATAGCCTTAAATAGTTTGTAAGGTTTTCAGTACTAGCAAAAGACATAGAAAAGAAATGATTATTCTTTACCTCATTTCTCTAAGATCAGCCTTTCCTGGTATTATTTGAAAGGCTGTATGTTTAAAAATCTCTATACTGGAGCATATTTAGCTGTAAGAATCCAAATAGTTCTCAATAATTTAAGGCTTTGGCTGTCAGGTAATAGTAGCTTTTAAGACTTTAGATTAAAAAGATTTTTGTTATGTTTCACAAACTAATCAGCTAAATTTTGGGTGCATTTCCTTCCTGTCTTGTAAATCTGAGAAGTTTGGGGAGGTGGGGCGTGGTTATATATACTTTGAACAAGGTGGCTAGTTATAGTCTTTTAAACAAGGTAAGATTGATAAGACTTACATGATAGTAACATCTTACTTATCCAGAGGCCACGTTTCATTTCTCTGCTATATAATAAACAACTATTAATCCAGAAATACATAAGGAGCCTCTGAGCATTATGTAAAAGAGCTATTCCAGAGGCCTGTGTACTTTATTCCAGTAAAGAAAATTACTGATTTTTTTACCTTCACACCAGCTATTAAAGCAGTATGGAAAGTAGGCAGCAAATTTGAAGCAGCAGCTATGTATCTGTTACCACAGATTATTTGCAAAGAACACTCCTGAAGTATTGAAATTTACTTAGTAACTTGATGACTGATAATCTACCACTGCCCCTCCCTTTTTGCTTTTCCTTAAATATTAGGTATGAGCCTTCTCGTGAGATGAAAAGTCAGTGGACAGCTGTCTGGGTGAAAATCTCTTCCAGTTGGATTGGCATCGTGCTCTATGTTTGGACACTGGTGGCACCACTTGTTCTTACAAATCGTGATTTTGACTGAATGGGACTTCTGGCATGAAAGTCCAACTTTGATCATTGCTTATTTGAAATTAACAGTATTCCCAACTTTTGTAAAGTGTGTGTGTGTGCGTGCGTGCGTGTGTGCACTTCCCATGCAGCTACTCCAGTGTTGGTCTGGCATGAATTAGATTTTACCGCTTGCCATTTTATTCATTTTCTTGCCAAGTCCATGGATATGTGTGTTTGAATGAATTGCAGGGGAGAGTTTTATGAATATGGTGGGTGGTGAGTTAGGAAAAATGTACATTCTTAGGTATATTCTCTGCTGTGTACCTGTGAAATTACACTAGAAATGGAACTGTTTGTTTGACGGGTTGATTTTACAACTATGTTAGAACTTAAGCTGTTCTAGAAAAGTATCAGTGGAAATGTATGACTGCCTTTTGAAATTTTGATGCCTTGCCTTACAGGAGACTGCAGATAACTTGGCTATTCTAAGATTGTATAACCAAGTCACTTAAATGCCAGCTGTCTGAAAATTCTTGTCTGGTTTTCCCCTTGATCTGAAGATAAGAAACTTGTAGGGAATGTTTGATGGATAACAGTGCAGGTTTTGCATGTAGGTTGAGGCACATAGCCTTCAAAGAAAGACTGGCAATGGTGCATACTGAATTGAGTACCCAGCTAGATTGTAATCTTCCCTGGGTAGGCATGGCCTCCTTCCATACCTACACAGTGAACTTTGTTTTAGTTTATAAACACATGCAAAATAATGGGTTCAGTGGAGATGTTAGGAATGCTGAAGGATTAGACAAAGGATTTGAAAAGGAAAATCATGGGTTGAGAAAGAAGTTTTTTAAAAAGACTTTGGAAATTAGTTTCGAAAAAGAAAGGTGGTAAACTTTTGACTGGGCAGGAAAAACTGCAAAATTTTGGGCTTCAGTAGGTACTTAGGCAAAATTGAGTCCAGTTCTCTCATTTTAAAAATGAAAAAACTGAAGCACAGACTTAAATAACTAATTTAGCTAATTAGTGGCTAAACTGGGAAATTCCAAGTCTGCCAGAAATAACTAGCATTCTTTCTGGCATTCAAAAGTAATTTCTATTTAAGATATGTGCATATTAGATTTTGCACCTCATTAGGGGTAGGTAATGTACGTGATTTGGGTTGCTTGTGGCCAGCATGTCTTCTACCTGGAAAGTCAGGCCAGGCCAATAATGAAATGCTGTAGAATAAACTTCTGCTTACAGTACACTGTACAGTTGATAAGTTTAAAATGCTTTTGTATTTGCTGCCATGTAATTGAAATTAAGTTATTATAATCTTTCAGCCTGAAAATCAAGCCGTATGACAATTAGAAACTCTTAGTTACTTGTATGTGTCATTAGTCTTAATGAAGCTTTTAAAAACTATATTTGCCTCTTTTAAAATATTTATAAGTGGAATATAACAATTCAACCTAATTCCCTAACCTTGTGTGTATTGATACTGTGTTCCAAGATTTTGAATGGCTGTGTTCTACCTATAAATAAATGAATTCAGACAAAGTGTGTAGTGTGTTAATTTTTCAGCAGCTCAAATTTGGGTGGCTATAATACTAAGACCTAATCCTCTAGAGGATTAACTAAGCCCATTTTCTGTCCTGAAAATTGAATTATTTTTAAGGCAGTTTTTATCCTTTTGGTTGTTTGTAAGTAACCCCTGAGCTTCGATCCCAGAGGTAATCCAAGTGGCGTTCTCCCCCCCCCCCACCAAAAAGAAAACAAAACAAAAAACCACCAGCCTTCAGTATGTAGACCAGGACCTGTTTAGTTTGGAGAATGTTTTTCATTCAGTCAATAAGGTAGTCTACACATGCTGTGTTCTCCAGGCATTTTTTCCTATTTATTTGTTGGTTGATGCATTTTTCTCCTATCAACACACTGAAAAAATTCCCTTTCTTAAAAAAATAGTAATATAATTCTGATAAAAATATTCCACCTCATATAAGAATTACCAAGTTTTAGTATATTTTATTCAGTGATTCATTTGACATGAGTTTCTTCAGTATTACAGGTGGGACAATGCTGAATTTTTTTACCCAAAAAACAGTTCTCCAATTCCACGTTTTCTTCAAAGGGTAGCGAAAAATGAGTACACCAAACAACGTGTGATATTAAATACCAAGGATTATTAATGCTGGGGGCAATTACAGAGGAGTAGGAAAAGGTTTTCTAAGCATGATTTCAGAAAAATTAACCTAAATGTTATTTTGTTTGCCACATTCCTAGTTTTAATATTCATTTCATATTATTCTTGCTTAGGGAAGAACAAAAAAGCAGCTTACTATGTTATCCTTCAAATAAAAGTCAGTAGAAATGTCAAAGACTTGTGAGGATTATGATACCTTAGGCTTCTTGAAATCTAAACTTTACTAGTTTATATATGTCTATCTTTGTGTGGTAGTATATAAAGGACATTTAAAATAGAATCTTTTGCTACTCTAGTTGTAACCTAGTTTTGTCATGAAACTTAATCTCATGATTAAGAGATGCTAGATTTATTTGATCAACTCTGAATATATACTATGTGAGATAAATAGAACAGTCCCTGTCCTTACGAAACGTAATGGGATAGAGGGTAACAACAGTGAGAGAAATCACTTTTGGTCTGTCAAATTTTAAAATATTTCATGGTGGTGCCTATACCATAGGGTTGGATTTTAACAGCTGCAGTGAGAAGAGCTCAAGCAAATGCCTGCAATAAGGCACTGCAGGAGCTAAGCAGTGGAAACAATGAGGTGTTATTTAATGTCAGGTGGGACAGGGAACTAGAAATTCTGTAAAAATAAACTGTAAAATGCTTGCTATGCCTGCAAGAAAGTAACAGACTAAGGGCAAAAAAACTGTGAAGTGGGTATCGATAATGTTGACATCCTGGGGGCATTTTCTGGTCTCAATAATCAAAGGGCCTGGGTTCTTGAAAACAAAAACCTGTAGGACAAGTATCAGGGTTTGTCATCCTATGAGGTGGCCAGTGGTGAGAAAGTAAAGACAAGGGCTACCTCAGTGAAAGGGTACAGAAAGGGTACACTAGGAAAATATCTGCAAAACTAGAAAAAGGGCGATAAGGAAATTAGTCTGGATTTTTTAATGGCTGGAAAAATAAGTCTCCACTGCATATTCAACCACAGACTTTTCCTCTCACAGATTTGCAATTTGAATTTTCAATACCCACATGATCCTAGACTCCCAAGTTGAGGTATTAACTAGAAAAGTGGTCCCAGTCAGGTAATACTCTTGGAGCACACTGTAGCATCACAACAAATATTTTGGACTCTACACTCTCAACCCAGGTCACACACCATTGCTACCTCACAATCCAACTTTAAAAAACACACATTAAAAAAAAAAAAGGAAACACCATGAGCAAGTGCTGAGAAATGAGAAAAAGCAGAATTGGAACCCAAAAACTTAAGATAGTAAAATTACTAGGTATAAGTATAAAAAAAGTTTAAAATGATTGAAAAGAATATAAAGTGTCTGAAACAAAGGATGAATATAAAATACAAAATAATTATTTTCTTGGAAAAAGATGAAGCAGATTTGAAAAACATCCAAGTAAAATGAAGTAAAATGGTCACTAAAATTTAAAACAATAAATTAATGGATAGGCTAGACCTAACTGAGGAAAGAATCAGCATAAATGATCTGAGAAAATGAGAATTATAAAGCATTACAAAGAATGCAAAGAATTCTTTGAGCAATAACTACAAGGAAATAAAAGAGATGGAAAATACGACAGTGGTAAGAGTCATGGAGGATAGAATGTAAACGTCAATATTTAACAGAACTTCCAGAATTTAAGAAAAATATTTTCAGATTTAGAAGTCGCCCTGGATTGCAAGCAGATCAAACAAATCCGTATTTAGTCTCAAGATAGCAAACTTGAAGAACAAAGGGAAGATCTTAAAAGCAACTAGATTGCCAGTTCTGGATATAGAAGATCAAGCAGATCATTACTCTGTAAAAAACAAAAAACAACAACAAAAAAAAAAAACAGAAAAAGCCAGGTAAACTGAAAAATCATTTTCAAAAGTCGATCGAAGACTGGAAGTCTAAAGGAAATTTCTAAAGAAGGAAAAACCTTTCCCAGGTGAGCAGAGATCAGTGACCACATTACTCCTGGGGGCCATTTGCCTAGTCTGGGCATGGGCAGGTAGAGAATTTGACATGCCATAGACAATGGGACTCTGCTGAGAGCAGGAGAGACCAGTAGAGCTTTTTAGGTCATATGACCTAGAGTGATGGATTGGAATCTGGAGGAGAGCTAAAAGCACATTTGATCTTTCTGCTCAGTTTTCCCCTAAAAGCACATCTGATTTTTCTGCTCAGTTTTCCCCATTAGAAATTTTGCTGAGTGATAGATGGTACAGGAAGTTGGGGATTGACTGGAAAAGTTTTTGCAGTTTCAGTGTGTTTTATAGTTGCTTATCAGAGGGAGGGACCAGCAGTTAACACTGGTGTTGCCATCAAGACATCTGAAAGCAGAGGTGAACTGAAACTAAAGCTGGAATTCATTTTCCAGCTGCATCAAAATGATCAGCTTCTTACCTTAGGATCCTGACAGAGGAAAGGACTCAAATAATATTGATTTCGGTCACTATGGTTCTTTCATTACAATGTCTGACACAAAATCAAAATTTACAAAGTAAGAGAAAAAGCAGGAAAATATGACCTATAAGAAAAAAGTGAATTAAAGCAGTCCCATAGATAGCCCAGATTATTAGAAGAAAATGACTTTAAAATAACTAATATAAAATTTTTAAAGAAAATAGAGGAAAAGAGGGTAAAATGGATAAAAAGATGGAAAAGTTCAACTGAGAAATTCAATTGCTAAAATAGAAACAAATGCACATTCTAGAACTGAAAAATATGTCTGAAATTAAAAACAGAGATGTAATAAGAATGCTATCACAATTTCTTTTGAATATAGTACTGGAGGTCCTCGCCAGAAGAGTTAAAAAAAAAAAAAAAAAAAAAGGTGTAAGAAAGAAACTAATTCAAGAAAATATGCTTGCTTACACAAAAATCCAATTGCATTTATAGTCAAATTATTAATAAGCATTTATTAAATTGGCTGGGATAACAATAAGCCTAAAAAATAAAATAGGTAACATTAAGTGTTTTACGTGGATTTTCTCATTTAATGCTCAAAGCAAAATGTAATGTTATTATTATGTCCATTACACAGAGAAGGAAACCAAACCACAAAGTAGTGAGGTAATCTGCCCAAGGAGGGCTGGGATTAGAACTCAGGCTATCTGGCTTCTTCGCCAAAAACAAAATGTGTTTCTATGCACCAATAGCAGAGTTAGAAAATGAAATCTGAAAAAAAAAATTAAAATAGCATCAACAAATAAGATACACAAAAATGTGGAAAACCTTTATGGAAAATATAACACTGAAACTCATTAAGAAAAACCTTGGTAAATAGAAGTCTACCACGTTCATGAATTGGAAGATGCAATATTTAGTTCTCCCCAAATTAATCTATAAATTCAGTGCAATTCCAATAAAAATCCCTTTAGAGACTTTTTCAGAAACTGAACCAGTTGATACTAAATTTTGTATAAAAGACCTGAAAGGCCAGGAATAGCCAGGAAAATTTTGCAGAACATCTGATCAAGGTTTAGGGACTTACCAAATATCAAGGCTTATTTCAAAGTTAAAATGGTCAGTGTAGGCATACCCTTTGCCCTTGAGTGGATTCCAACTCAGAGCAACCCTATAGGACAGAGTAGGACTGCCCATAGGGTTTCCAAGGCTGTAATCTTCTCTATGGAAGCAGACTGTTACATCTTTCTCCTGTGGAGCAGCTGGTGGGTTTGAACTAATGACCTTTCAGTTAGCAGAGCTTCTTCCCAGTGTAGGCATAACAAAAAAAAAAAAAAAAAACTGCAACAAAACCCGTTGCCATCGAATAAAGTCCCATAGAGTTTCCAAGGCTGTAAATCTTTATGGAAGCAGACTGTCACATCTTTCTCCCAGGCAGTGGCTGGTTGGTTCCATCTTTCAGTCAGCAGTCAAGTGCTTAACCACTGTGCTACCAGGGCTCCTCCAGTGTAGGCCTGTTGTTGTTAGGTGCCTTTGAATTGGTTCCACTCCTAGCAACCCTATGTACAACAGAACCAAACACTGCCTGGTTCTGTGCCATCCGCACAACTGTTGCTATGTTTCAGCCCATTGTTGCAGCCACTGTGTCAATCCATCTCCTTAAGGGTCTTCCTCTTTTTCGCTGACCCTCTACTTTACCAAGCATGATGAACAGATAATATGCCCAAAGTATGTGAGATGAAGTCTCGCCATCCTCACTTCTAAGGAGCATTCTGGCTGTACTTCTTCCAAGACAGATTTGTTCATCCTTCTGGCAGTCCATGGTATATTCAATATTCTTCACCAACACCATAATTCAAAGGTGTCAATTCTTCGGTCTTCCTTATTCATTTCTCCAGCTTTCGCATGCATATGAGGAGATTGAAAATATCATGACTTGGGTCATTTCCACC